ATGGCGGCGTTTATCGGTGAATCCGATATTACAAAACCGATATCCGATTATTGTAAAATGCTTAAATATCGGTAAAAATATCGGTAAATCTATATATCGGTCGATCTCTAATTATAAATGTCTTTACTGTTACTTTTGATTAATTTAATGCATCCTTGATGAATAAACGTATTATTTTTTTAATCTTTCGAACTACAAACGGCGTTCAACATTGATAATAATCAGAAATGTTTCTCGAGCAGCATATTATTATGATTTCTGAAGATCATGTGACACTGAAGACTGGAGAAATGATGCTGAAAATACAGAAATAAATTATATTTTAACAGATATTCACATAGTAAGCAACTATGTCAAATTCTAAAAATAATTTCACATTTTCTGTATTTTTGATTAAATAAATGCAGCCTTGGTGAGCATAAAAACGTAAAAATGGTAATTATTCCAAACCTAAACTTTGCAGCTTTAAAAGCCTAAATATCATCATGCATACAACCAGGTGTAAACGGCTCCGAGTCATGCTCACAGACTGAGAGTGTAAGAGTCATTCAACGTGAATCATCCATCAGCAGAAGACAGTGTGCAAGCAAAGACAAGAGACGCCCGCTCAGTCCATCAGAGTCATGCAGGAAACCTGAAGACGGGACGGTTGGGCGTTAAAAGCCCGGATCACGCGGTCCGCTTTACACTTACTGAGCCGAGGGAACTCAGACTGTGGCCATAGAGCTGCAGTGAAACAGCAGAGGATCTCTGGGCCGCGTGCGGCTGACTGTTCACTGGGCTTAAGTGCTTTAAGTTCGACTGCTTGATGAAATTACTGTTGGCCACTGAGCCAGCGCTAACATCAGAAAACACGTGATCCTTTTCACAGGCCGTTACGTGCAAGCTGCCTAAAGATTTAGCGAGCCTTGAATGTAAAGGGCTGTGAAAGAAAAACGTCAACCATGAATATGAACGTCAGACTTACTCAAGTCGCTTTAATGCAAAAGGCTTAAAAACTCCGTGAAATACCCACCTACTGGTCCTGCTGGATCCAAGTGAAGCCCGGGTTCTTTTCCTTTTATCGGAGCTATGTGGAAGATGTTTTACAGATTATATGACAGACATACAGTTGATAAGATTTAGAACCCTGAACACGCAACTGCAGAATAATTCTGTTAAAAAGGAATATGACGTAAACAATAGAGCAGAATTCAGAAATGTTGTTTGTTTACATTTACAGCATCACACAAAGCAAAAGCTTTCAGTTACTGATGCTGCTGTAGAAATTTGCATAAAATACAATATGAAGTAAAAAATTAAAAAATATATAATTATCATTTGTGTGTGTATGTGTATATATATTTTTATTGTATATAGATATAATTAGGGCTGCACAAGTAATCGAATTTCTAATCTCAATTACGGATGCCACAATTACGTAATCGTTCAAAGCGGCAATTAATCGTTCAAAGTCCACTTATGTTATTCTGCACGCTTAAGATATGTTTTTTACTTTCTACATGTTATATTTAGGGTTTTTCCATTGTTTTTGTATAACATTATAATACCATTCATATTTTAACTTTTTTTATAATTTAAGGATGAAACCAATCCGATGTGTATTTGACATTTGAGGCTTAATACTATAGAAAAGCACTAAAAGTGTTATAGTTAGAGTGTTTTCAGCTTGTTTATTTTCATATAAAAATACGGCATGCAGTTGCATTAAACAATGGTATAAACATCATTCAATGTAAATTGTGATAATCATAATTAATAATCGCAATTACAATTTCAAGGGAATAATCGACAATTATGATTTTTGTCATAATCGTGCAGCCGTAGATATAATGGTAATTTTATATATAATTGATATTTTATCATTTGATGGTTTCATTTTATTTATTTATATATATATATATATATATATATATATGCTAGGGTTCTCAGGGTGGTTGCTAGGGTGTTGCTAGGGTATTTTGAGTGGTTGCTAGGGTGTTGCTATGCGGTTGCTAGGGTATTCTGGGTGGTTGTTAGGGTGTTGCTATGTGGTTGCTAGGTCCCCAGGGTGGTTGTTAGGTGCGGTTGCTAGGCTGTTGCGATGCGGTCGCTAGGGTATTTTGTGTGGTTGCTAGGGTGTTGCTATGCGGTTGCTAAGGTATTCTGGGTGGTTGTTAGGGTGTTGCTATGTGGTTGCTAGGTCCCCAGGGTGGTTGCTAGGTGCGGTTGCTAGGCTGTTGCTCTGCAGTTGCTAGGGCGGTTGCTAGGCTGTTGCTATGCGGTCGCTAGGATAGATATATAGAGTCAGATTATGGATAGATGAGTTTGAAGGAGTTTAAATGGGTTAGAAATAGTACATAGAAGGGAAGCTTGATTGAGTCTCAAGGGATTCTGGGAGTTTGAATTTTGACAAAAGTACTATTCATCTGAATTTCAATCTTTTCAACAAGGACATAACACAAACTTATTTAAACAAAGAAGAAATGTTACCTTAATGACTTTGATGTTGATTTGGTCTGAATAGTATTTTCTTCTAACCTGCAGGTAGAGAAAAAAACAAAAGTTCAGTGTGATGAAAACACGCAAAACGACTAAAAAAAAAAAAAAGGATGGAGATTTGATGCATTAGATGCATTGTGTTCTCTGATGACATTATCATCACGTGTGTTCATACGTGTAGCATTTGCTTCAAAATCATCCTTTAAAGCCTCAAATGAGCTACACGAAGGAGAAGAACTCCATAAGACCATTAGATGAAGAGAGAAAAACCTTGAGAGGAACCAGATCATCCTCCTCTGACAGCACATACATCAAACACGATCCAGTTACGTAACGTGTGTGATACCGGTCTTCTGTTCACTGAACGAATGATCAGATCGTGTGCAATGCGTTGTGATAAAGTAAGGACACATAAGGGAGCTTATTAAACCTGCAGCTCAACATTAACGCCGAAAGAGGATAAATACAATGATCAATGCATGACATATATGACACATTCACAAGCGCTTCAGCAAAATGCAATTAATGCACAGACAAATCAAGTCACATTATGTTAAGCCTGGTAAAACTCAACACTGAAGAGAAGTGTTTCACAAAGGAGCACAGTAATATTAAGGGTTTAATACACGTTAAGATCTATTAACGGCAGCATGCGAGTCAATGTTCAATACCACAGGAAATAATTTTGTAAATTTACAAAATGTAAAGATTACACGTTAACAGATTAAAGTGGGATTCACTAACTAACCTTGCTATAGACCAATTATAGGTTTGTAAACATTCAGGATGCGCGCGCATCATGGTTGCAGAAAACCTTTACGGATAGAGAATTCACGGATAGGGTACAAAATAGTTAGGTTCAAAAAGATTATAAATTATATTGATTAGATGTCATTTTCAAAATTACAAGAGCTTGTCACCCAGTGATAAGCACTGTTATTCAACGAAATTGACGTTAGAGCGTGGGATAGTCTTAGAGATCCGAAACAGGGGTGACGTTTTTTGTGGGTGGAGCCTATCTGGAGGCAGAAAACGACGGTTTTCAAGCGGCAGTCTATGGAGCCATGGAATAAAAAAAATAGGTAAATTTGATTTTATATTTCAAAATTCTGACGTTATTCTCGCAGTTCCGAGATTATATCTCACAATTCTAATAAGGAAAAGCAACTCGTCATTCTCTCTTTTCCCCTCGGCTCTTGTAGCTTTTTTCCTTCAGATTTGACAAACTCACTATTTTTGAGTTAAGTCGAGTTATAAATGGAGAATGGAGAAGAACCTACGATATCGAACCCGTGGACGCTCTGGACTGCCTCTTACTCTTCAGAGCTCTCAGTTTGTCGCCTTGCGTGAGTCTTCCGCACTCCTCTTCCTCCTCCTCAGTGTGCTAACCAGTGAAAAACACAACCTGGTTAACAATCACTCGAGCAACGGCACGTAAAAACAAAAACGGCATGTTGATCTTTTCCATGTCTAAGTGGACAGACACAAATTGGGATGTTCCAGAATAAATAGATTTACTCACCATCTCACAGGCTGTTTTCCTCTGTGAAATGTTCTTGTTTGTACAATTAATGGAAATATCTTCCACTCCTGATAGGATTCCAGCCACTAGTGTTTTACTCGAGCCGTTTTCCTGCTCATTTATTTTTTGCCGGTACAAATCACCCTCTGTCCACAGACTCGCCTGCTTTCTGTGACATTAAGACATGCATACATTAATATGAAGAGCAGAAAATCCCATGCAGATTGGTACACGGATTCATTGCTTTGCATCAAAGACTCACTCGTCGATGAAGTTCTGCTGAGGTCCGATGATCGAACCGGGCCTGCAGATCCTGATCCACGCGATGGCTTCAGCTGCCGTCAGTCTGAAGTGTTTCATCATATAACAGCCAATCAGTGTCCCTGTTCGGCCCAGACCGGCTGAAACACACGGTGGTTTGGCCTGTTAATATTTCTAACGGAACCAGGAAGACTCAGATCCACTGATGAAGTGAGATGGCTGAATCATGCAATAAAATGAATGCAACAATTATATGGGGATTAGTGCAGAATAGGCCATTTTTTTAAATAGGCATTAAAGTGCACTATCCAAACTTAAATTGAATACTTTGGAATACAGATCTAAGGTTGGTCTCTTTTTAAAGAAGAAAATCAGCAGATTATTGCAAAAGTTTTTTTCAAAAAAATTAAAGTATCAAAAAGTGATAGAAGTTTAAATTTACTGTAAAGAAAATGCGCTATACTAATTTTATTTTATATATAGTAAATATTTTACATAACAGGTTTTACTCAAATTGGTATAAAATTAAAGCCTTGTCTAAATAAGTTATGTTCCAAATTTGAAGTTGATATGAAAAAAATTGAGGTTCCTGGGAGATTTTATTTAGGGCATTATACCACAAACAGCCACCAGGTGCCATCCAAACTCCATTGAATTTTTTAATGCATTTTTCTGTCACAAATGTCTAGATTTCTCTGTAAATATTACTTCATCATATCTCAAAATAACCACAATATATGGAATCCTGAGACTCAGACCTTTCCAATAATATGTATTTTGTCAAGATTATAAAAAGGTTTGATTGTAAAATACCGTAACGCATTTTGTAATATGACACTTGACTCCGCCCACTAAGGGGGAGAAGACCGCCAAAAGATTTTAAAGTACCATTTCCATGGTAACGCAATGTCCGATTTCAAAATGGTTTTCACAGGATGAGCTTCTAAGCTTTTAAATGATATATAATTTATGATGATTACTAAAAGGTTTGATTAAGAAAAAGGACAACAACAAAAAAAAGAGCGGCAAGAGTCCCACAGGTGGGACGGTGACAGTTAAAGGGTTAAAGTAGGGCTGTCAATTTAACGTGTTGTAATAATTAATGCATTAAATGCAGTGCCCCGTCCAGACCTGTCCGTCATCTTCCACTGATGCAGTGTCTGATGAACATGAGGAGTCTATTAGAATGCAGTTAAATGAGCCTAAAATTCAAGATATGAATTTTTCTCCAATATCTGCATGAACGCAAATGTGATCTTATACAGCAATTCAATAAACAAGTTAATACGGATCAGCTGATCACAGAACCGTGCTTCACTGAAATATACGCATGACAATCGCAGCTCCTACCTAATCGCGATTTATCGCCTTTGCGATTTAATTTAATAAACAAAATTCGCATTCAAAGCTTGCAGTTCGTCACTTTCGCCAAAATGGCTCAACGATTTTTTGACGTCACATCGTACTTCATCTTCTCATCAAATCTTCTGACCAATCAAACGCTCTCTAGAAGCCGAAGCGCCCGCCCCCTACACTATAAATAGACGCTGAAGCTGCAGCTGAGATCGGTCGCTTGTTCACAGTGTAGTATTTCCTGTACAGTGAATGGCTCGAAGTGCACAATGTAGGTGATAGGGAACGATTCAGACAGTTTAAATATGCTTTCGATTGGTGCAAATGAGGTCTGGTTTCACGTTGTTTCACGCGAACCGCGGCAGCGCGCGCAGTCAGATCCGGACTTTGGATCCGGTCCAGAGACGCGATCGCACGGAGCGGATCATATGCGCGAGTCGGCATATATTAAAAACTTTTACAACTACACAGCCTCAGCATGATTGTGATCACTATTTTGTTTTACTAAGAGTTTCATATTGAATCTAGGGGGTAATCTATTAAGACTGTGGCTGTCAAATGCGGCTTTACCGAGCTCAACGGCTCTGGCCCGAGCAGATATAAACAAAACGCTATTGGCTATTTTAAAAAGTGGGTGGGGCTGCTCGATATGTCCCACCCTCTCTTCCTGTTTCAGTTGAAATTACGTCACCACATAGAATAATGCTGCGTGTTTCAAGGCACTTCAGGGGACCTTTAAAGGAGTAGTTCACTTTCAGAATGAAAAGACGACATTTTGAAAAATGTTAGTATCCAAACAGTTGATGGAGGCCTCAGCCACAGGAGGCCTTTATTCACCCCCCGGAGCCGTGTGAGGCACTTTTTTTATTATGGATGGACGCGCTTTATTGGACTTCTTTTGGACTATTGAAAAATAACACCCATCCACTGCCATTATGAAGCTTGGAAGAGCCAGGACATTTTTAAATATAACTCTGATTGTATTCGTCTGAAAGAAGTCATATACACCTAGGATGGCTTGAGGGTGAGTAAATCATAGCCTAATTTTATTTTTTTTTGGGTGAACTGTCCCTTTAAGCTTGAAAAACCCGAACCTTTACAGTGGACCGCAATGGCTCCATCAGCATTCTCGCAGATGTTCAGGAACTTGGTGACGATGGCGTCGTTGGGCGCACTGCCGTCTACAAAGAACAGGTCGTGGTGCTTGAAGCCCATGTCTGTGAAACGCTTGGCGTCGTACATTTTCTTGTTGAGCCGGATGATGGTGGTGATGTTGTGCTTCCTGAAGTAGGGGAAATACGCTTCAGGGGCATGAAGAGGGTATCCTGATGGAAAAAAAAAAGTATATATGTTTCCAGTTTTTATTTTAAACCATTAGAATAATGGGTGATCAAGCCAATCCATATGCACCATTCTCAATTTTGCTATTTGGATGAGGGCCGCTGAAAGCCAAAAACTTTCCTGGAATTATCCAGTTGAAATCTCCATTTTCTGCCCGCTGGAAAAAATAATAAAGCAGCATCATCAGTCAGAGTGTGGCTAAACTCTTTAATAGTGATCGACCGATATTGATATTTTATAACCGATACCAATTATTTGCATGTTTATGTGCCCGATAACCGATATGCAGAACCGATATTTATTTACTGTTATAAAGTAAATAAATGACTGAGTAAAGTAAGTCCATGCTTCACTTTGGTTTTTTCCTCCTTTTAGTCATTTTAAAAAAAGTGTTGAAAATGAGCAGTCTTTCATGTTAAATTTAATCTTCATATTACAACAATAAAAAAACATTTTATTTAAAGCATCAGCAGCAACACCAATATTAACAATAAGCAAAATAAATGTAGAAGGTCTAATGTTTTCAAATGGAGAAAATAAATAAAGGATTCATATCAACTTCATTTTAAACTACAGTTTTAGTAGGTTTATAAGCCGTTTAATAGGCTAAAGAGTGAAGAATAATTCACTGGATAATGTTAATTCACTGAATAATATTCTCTGGAATATTGAAATCTAAAACAAAACATCGTATTTTATTGCATTTCTCAACTGGCATGTTATATCAGAATTACTAATAATGGTTTTGTCGTTCTAGATTATGAAATGCCTGCTGACAGCACAGTTTATCTATGCATTTACACAGAACTATATTCAAACTGCGATAACTCGTGGAGATAATAAATAATTAATTTCCATAGAGTTGTATCTATTTAGATGTTTATTAACGAAATAATGGTTATATAGTAAATGTTAATACAATTTAGGGTGTTTTAAACAAGTGAATCTTGTTAAAAGTTACATGCGGTGGCCGTGCAAAATATGAAAGCGGCTTCACGAGGCTAATGATGAGCACAGACAACAGACAGAGAATTAAATTTAGCGCTTTTATTTCCAACATGCGCTCATTCATGGCTGTATTATTTAATTCATGCAGCGTTACGTCTTTATTCGGAGAGGACTTGACGGATTATTTTAGCTTACGTGACTCCACCTTCATGAGACGATGAGCATATAGACAACAGACAGAGAATTAAATT